ACTTCCTCAAGAAAAGACGAATGAGCATTTCCTGTGCTAAATTTTCTCTCGGGTGTGTGAAAAAATGTGAACTCCGACCTCAGTAGCGAACGCTCGTTCAAAGAGGTGGGCAAATCCAGCGAAGGCCAAGAGAAAGCTGACTCTAAAGGATCTCAACTGAGCTAACTAACTAACTAACAAACTCCACGGAGCAGAGTCCTTCTTCAGATGTTATTAGAAATTTGCCGTCTTTTATGGAACCAGAAGGTTCATTACCGTGTTCACAACAGCCCACCACTGGTCCCTATCCTGAGCCATATGAATCCAATCCGCACCGTCCCAACACTATTTCCCAAAGATCCAATTTAATATTATCCTGCTATGTCTTCCGAATGCTCTCTTCCCTTCAGGTTTTCTCATATCCACCATATGCTACATTCCCTGCCCATCCCTTCCTCTCTAATTTGGTCACCCCATAAATGTTTGACAGTCGGAGGAAACCAAAATGACCCTCACCTTGATGGCCACCTCGAGTTCTTCCTCCCGCATGGCGACTGCTCCTCAGGGCTGTCCAAACAAGCTGACCGGCCTCATCTCATCCTGCGAACAAAACATATCCACACGTTGAGTAACAGCACAGCGTTGCCTAGCAACAGGTGCGTGTGACGTCACATTGCATCACGAGAGACAGCTGCTGGTCGTTCAGACGAGCATGGAACTTGAAATAGCGTCTTCTTAAGACTCCTCGTTGTCGTCTGACTTCGTAACAAAAACCAACAACGTGTGAATGTTTCCCTTTGAAAAACTCAGACCGAATCCATGTGGCAGAGTCCTTGAGAAGCTGATAGTCGCTCAGAATTTCATTACCGTGTTCCCAAAGACCGCCATTTCATACTACACTGATTTTGGAAGATCCGTTTTAATATTATACTCCCAATTGTCTCCCAAGAGGTCTTTCGATTAATGTTTTCCGACCAAAATTGTGTATTCATATCTCGTCTTTCTCACTCGTGCTACACGTTTCTCCCAAAATATCAATTACTCTATTAATGTCTGGTTAAGTTTATGTAAATTGCGAAGCTCCTCGTTATGTAATTATCTCCATCACCTTCCTACGTCTTTCTCTCTGTTAGATACGAATTTCTTCTCAGAACTCTGTTCCTCCTAACTTATTATTTCATTTAATCCTTTAAAGCCCAGTGGTAACTATATGTACCATTTGGTTTACCAATCATCAACTCTTCATTTTGTATTTATGTGTTTCGTATGATTCTCACAATATAAACAGCGATTATCTCCTTAAACAGCGTTAACCAGTTGATCTTCGTAACGGTGAAGTGCGGTGTTTTCTTCGCGGTACGGACTGGATTCTTAAATATTATTTAGATGCATACGCAGTGTATTTATGTGTTTCGTATGATTCTCACCGTAAACAGCGATTATCTCCTTAAACAGCGTTAACCAGTTGATCTTCGTAATGGTGAAGTTTGGTGTTTTCTTTGCGGTACGGTCTGAATTCTTAAATATAAAGATAGCCTAGGGACCGAACTCACCTTCTTTGTGCACAGCACGTAACAAATTTGTGTTGGCTTAACGACCTGTGTCATTGTTCCTGCAGAAATACAGAGTATTCTGCTTGGAACAACCTTGATTAGAGTTTTTGTTGCCATAGCCATGACAGCAAAGCAGAGTACCACAAGTAAATGTTTCTTTGTCTATCTGCTACTGCACTTGGCTTGTTGGAGCTGGGCACGAGGCACTTCCGGTCACGTGAAATTCTCTTTCCGGTTGCAGAACAAAGCCTTTTGAAGGGACACAGATTGGGGACGAGCGAGCGTCTCCAAAGAAATTTCCCTCTGTCGCACGGGGACAAGGAAATGTGGGTCTATTTTTATTTGACTTTGGTTCCAGAAACTGTACGCGCAGAAAGATCATTGCATCTCAGATGAGTTATCAACCAAATGTCAATATTCTTGTTTCGCATTCGGGATGTCCTGGGTTCAAATATCATCCCGAAGACAGAGGATTTTAGCGATTTTCCTTAATCCCTCGACTCGAATTTCGGTATAGTATCTAAAAATTAGGCCACATTCACTTCCTTCCGCTACTTTCAAATTCATTATTCGTAACTCATTCGGTCATTTGGCGTTTATTGTGTAAGTCGTTAAGTTCTTGCAAGAACTTCTCGTTAATTTGATGTGTCCTTTCATACAAGGTTCAACCGAAAACTTTGTATGCATTTCTTGTTTTTCCCGTGCGTGGATTTCTATACAGACTTGTCATTTACGTTACATAAGAGTGGCCCTTCATCAAATATGACATAACTGGAGCAACGTTCTACATTCGCCCGGATCACCTTGAAATCTATTCACATTTATGGCACAAAGAGACGAACGGGAGACCTCAAACAGATGCAGAGAAACCACAGCAAGATTCCGCCTCAGGTGATGCACTGTGACATTATTAAAAGAGCGTTTGTAATAGCGAGTGGGATGTAGCAACAGTAGGGTTCAGTAAAAGCCAGAGCTGTCGAGACAGTTCTCATTAACAAACTAACGGACTAACGTGCTAGGGGGCAGAGTGAGTGGCTGAATTACCGACGAGCTACGACATCTGTCCAAGAGTGACTGTACGTACACACAAGTAACACTCGCTTCAACATCGACGTCACTTCAGTAACTGACTAAACTAACAAACGAAGAGGTGCAGATTCCTTATTTAGAAGCTGGCAGTTGCTGAGGTGGTCAAGACATTATACGCCCTTTAGGGAAACCAGAAATGTTCACGAGAGCCAGCTTAATCTTTATTTCGGTGTTTGTAGTTTGAATAAGATTTCCAGCTGAATTGATCTTCGATATTCGTTTGTGTTGAGACGCCGAAAGGCTGAACTAGTGCGACATAAATATTAAGTGAAATGAAAAAGAAATTGAACGAACACGGGACGAGGAATAAGATAAATGCTGCAGAACGAAAGAGACGATTAAACAATAAATAAATAAATAACGAAAGAGGATGCATTTAGAGGGCACAAGAAATATAAGAAGGATATCTAGGGACAAAGGAATGGAGAGAAAGGTGCAATGAAGACGGAACAAACACAAAGACGGGATTGTCAATAAATTGAAAGACAGAAGGTAAAGGACAGTGTAAAGAATGAGGGAGGAGGATTTTCATTGATCGATTTATTTTTTCATAATCATTGATTTTCATAAAGGAAAGAAGTGTAATGATGGAGCGTAAGTGGAAACAAATCTGTGACAAAGAAACAAGACGTAGGTGGATAAATAAAGGAAATAAGGAGAGGAAGGAGAAATGAGAGTTGCGCCGGCCACCGATCGGTCGCTGGATGTTAATCAGGTGTAAAAACTTCGGCTACCGTCAGTCAACATGAGTAGGTATGTCGACACTCCTGATATCGATACGATATATCGAAACAAGTTGAAATTAAACCCGTCTAGTTCGACTTTTTGTAACTACAGTGACTAAGCCCATTTTAATCCTCTCTTTAAAACGCAGTGGTAAATTTTAGCTGGAAAGCCTGAAGGAAAGAGACAACTCGGAAGACTTAGTCATAGATGGGAAGATTATATCAAAATTGATGTTAAAGAAATGGGGTTGGTGGGTGTGGCGAAGAATGGGGACCGGTGGCGGGCTCTCGTGACCAAGGTAATGAATTTTAAAGGCCGGAAATTTCGTGACTAGCTGAGAGACTATCAGCTTCTCAAGAAAGACTTTCTCCATGGAATTAGTTACTATTTCTGACGTTGTGTGTTCGTACAAAAGAATAGTTTCGGAAAGGTGGGTTTTTTTTTCCTGTTGATGGATGGAGGAACAATGAAAGAATGGATTTAGAAAAAATGTGGCGAAATATTTAATGTTATTTTAGATGAAAACTGAATAAGGCAGGTTTATTTAACCATATCAGGACAGAATACAGCTCTAGGACTACATAGTTTAACCCCTTGAAGCCAAATAAGAATCCAGTCCGTACCGCGAAGAAAACACAACACGTCATCATTACGAAGATCAACTGGTTAACGCTGGTTAAGGAAATAATCGCTGTTTATAACGAGAATCATACGAAACTCATAAATACAGTGTGGGGAAAAATACAGAGGGACTGATTGTTAAATTATGTGGTACGTATAGTTACCACTGGGTTTTAAAGGGTTAACCGAGAAGACAGCGGCTTCTGTTTGTGATTATAAATGAATAATTCTTAATTCGACAAATGCTTATCCATAATAAGCAAAGAAGAACTTCGAGTAGGACGTTGGTTCCCTCTTTCAATGGAGCTAACCGTGTATTTTGCCTGACAAAAGGAAGCCGGCTTCATTTTGATTTGAACCACGTCTCTGAAGGAATTGTCAGGAATGTGTGCACAGAGGTACAGTTAGACCAATGTTTCTATTCAAAATAGGTTCAGTGGCCGCTCGTGAGTTTATACAGAATTGTGACGATGTGTTTGCAATGTACTCGACTGTACTCTTAAATTGCGACTGAATCAGTTCAGAGGTTTAAGATCAAGTTGAGGTATGCGTAAGTAATTCGCCTTAAATGCGTATAGGGGCACAGGACTTAATGCGCAGATGTCAATTTGTTTCCATGGCAACGTATCGAATTTCTGCTGTTAGATAACCAATAATTTCAACTTTTGTAGGGTTTGAGGTTTTCACGGCGGAGTCCGAAGATGGCTGTCTTCTGGGTTGTAGCGCCGTGTAGTCTGGTAGAAGTTTACCGACGTTTCAGAGGTCCTTACTGCCTCCATCATCAGGGTGAATACTTCCACCAGACTACACGGCGAAAACAACATAGAAGACAGTAATCTTGAATTTAAACTTTTATTTTGAGAGACGCTGTTTGAGGTTTTGTTACTGAGCAAAATAAATTCAGACCAGAAATTTGTACTTCGTTGAGGTCCAGGAGCTCATGCGTCTTTGAACACTCCAAGTCCGGGACTCTTGAGCCCAGAACGTGACTGGAATTCGTGATGTGAGGTGACACGTACACCAGTACACTAAATTAAGCAAATAACACGTGTGCCGCCTTTGTAGCCAGTAAATAACGAAGAACAAATATCAACGCTTTCTGTGGCTGTGACCACCCACGAGTGTACACGGCGACGCAACCCAGAAGACCACCGTCCAAATTTTCACTAAAGTGAAAATCTCAAATCACACTGTGACCAATTCTGTGCTGCGCACGAGATATCTCGTTTAGAATCACCAACTGTTTTGATCTGGAGTTATTTGATTTTCGAGAAAAATCACTGAAATTCGTTTGTTCGACGACGTCTCTAGAGACTAAGCCAACTATTCGTGCTTTTCTTTTGTTGTGTTTGGGTTATGTATTAAATAGGTTAACAGCTTTCGATTCCAGGCGGTGTCCGAAGATGGCTGCCTTCTGGGATGTTAACGCCGTGTAGTCTAGGCGATTCACTGATGATGGAGGCAGCTACTACGTCTGAAACGTTGGTCAATTTCTACCAGAGTAAGAGGCGCAATATCCCCACTTAGTTTCTTAGTAAACCCGGTGAGGCGAGAGAAATTCGAACTTCCGGTTCCGAAGTCAAGACCTCAGCTTTGCTGTGGTCTCGTCCC